TGAGTAACGCTATTATGTGATATGAGGGGCTCGGTGGCCTTAGAATAACCGTTTTTGCTTACTGAGCAGAACATCATGAGTCTAATCTCAAGCCCATCCACATTCAAGATTCGTCAATCGTTTTATTTGTTAACATGACTACATGGTAATAACAGCAACTCGATGATTAAAAAGGAGCTCGTCTGCCTAGTGGCAAACGTTTTTGCTTACTGAACAGAAGACCGTGGGTTCAATCCCAAGCTCCTTCGCGTTATATGATTGTTAGGACATCAATTCAGCTTATCGTTTACCAAAACGAACCCTGCTGTAAACCCAACCCTATTACCCAATATCCCAGTGATTCCTCGTGGAAGTGCAGAGGTGTTCTCGGCTTCCATCAAAGCGAGTGTCACGTCAACACATTCCTACCCCTTCCTTTCTTGACCTGTGTTCGGGCGCGGCCGGCGCTGGTATTGCCTAGTTTGAGATCACCAGTTTTTACACATTGAGGATGATTGCTAGTCCCAAGCATCGTCTTCTCTGTGTAATTACAGCTGGTCTGGCAATAACAGAGTAGCAACCGTGGGCGGCAATCATGCTCATGCTCATGCTCATGCTCATGGTCATGCTCATGCTCAGATATTCGCGATCAATCATATAAATTCGAGATTTTTTTTTTTTTGCTTTTTCTAGCGCCCTGGAGAAAACCTCACGAAGTGTTTCTGGTTAATTGATAAGGTCATGTGGTATTCGGTCATTGCGAGAATGTTTATGCACCACTTCAATACTGTTACGCATTTGACCACAAACATTTGGTTGATGGTTACATTATCAAAGAGTTTTGGGGGTGATGTGGCTGCCAGCTGAATCCGATCAGCGGTTGAGGGCAGTATTGATAGCTAACTGCTTGCGGGGAGCCTTTCGTTGTGTACTGGAGAACACCACCACTCACCACTCGCGGTGAAGGCCCACGCACATTAGAACCGGATCGGACGCGTTGCGGCAACGTGACAGCTAAATCTATTGTCTAACTGTCAAATTTACGTCAACGCAACGCAAACGGATCTAATGTGGGTGGCCCTTGATTGAATGAACAGCGTTCGTTGAGACCGGATGGAATGCAATTTTGAAATCTGTGTTAGGGAAAGCGCTTTTCGCTGGCAATCGGTGACCATTTTATGATCATAGAAACACTTGCGTGCAATTTTCAATACTGACATTTTGAAAAAAAAAAAAATGATAAATCCTAAATCTTAACAGATTTGTAGAAAAATTTCTTATCGATCTGCGTATTCAGAATTAAAATCCATCATCTCTGGATCAAAATCAGATCACTTTCATGCCGCGACCGACTTTGGATTCTGAAATTGCACCCCCAATGTTGACTTAAAAATGTAGGGCATGTTAGATTTAAACATATGGGAATCGATTGATGACCTTGACAAATCAAGCTTAGGACCTAATGCAATGTTCAGCTTGAAATGTCCAACAAATACTCTTTATCAAATTTATGGTGGTCCTGAAAATGCTGATGGTTGAGTAATGCTGAGCTATTAGGGTGTTCAACACGGATGAGGCTGGCGAGCTGTATGTTGTTTGGAACGAGGGTGACGCGCTTGACATAGGTGGCCAACAGTGATTCACGAAGATTCTACTTTTTTAAACAAAACAATGTCCGAATGTTATTCAGAGGCATAGTTTGTGCTCAACAAATTTTACACATAATTATCTTTAAAGTGGTACCAAAAGGTCAGAATTTGGTAAGCAACTGACAAAGCTACATCGTAAAACGGTATTTTTTCATCAATACTTTGCAAACAAAATACCTTATGTCAAATATAACATAGTCAAAACGTTGTTTCACATGCATACTTTGTTCCAAAAGATTCAAATTCTGTCAAATTATGACAAAGTTATGGCAGGTTGAATATTATTTTCTTTAAATTAAGATCATAGTTTGTGCAGAATTAGACAGCTGCTGATTTCTACAAACATTTTACGAATTTAGTTATGAAGAGGTTGGTACAAAGAGATCCAAAATTTGATGATGGTTAACGATGATTTTAGTAAAAGTCATTTCTTAAAGGTCAACAATCCATCTTCAAGACGTATGCACCACCTCTAAATCAAAATAAACTTATTTCATACTCGAGGTCATCTGTTTCCAAGCCATTTAGAACCAACAAATCAACGAATTTAAGGGCCTTATGAACATTTGAAAAATAAGCCGCACACTAGTGTAAAGGGTGTCCCACATCCAATTGCATCACGAAAAAAAAACGCTGTAGAAAATTACCCACTGGGTATTTTCTCTTGATATTTTGGGTAGAGTTAGTTTAGAGTGTAATGTTTACACTGTATTTTATAGCTGTCAGTTTTTCAAAAGTTGGAAAAAATGGCGACACCCGAAAAGCAGATTTTGCGCAAACCTGGAAAATCCTCAACTCTCTCATCGAGACATCGGACAACAACTCGGAATCGTGCAGTCAACGGTGAGTCATGTGATAAAACGTTGCTATGAAACTCTGAGCTTCGAACGGAAGGAGAAATGCGGTCAAAATGGATGTTCTATTAATGAGCAGGATCACAAGTGTGTCGTGAAAGCGTTTGAGCGGAATCCCTATGCTTTGGTCAGGGATGTGGCCAAAAAGTTGAATCTGTCCAAGTCTTTCGTTCAGAGAGCCAAGGACCGGGAGGGACTGCATACGTACAAAGTGCAGAAGGCTCCAAATCGTGACGAACGGCAAAATACGGTGGGAAAGTCACGGGCTCGGAAACTGTACACCCAGATGCTGACGAAGCTATATTGTATCATCATGGATGATGAGACTTACGTCAAGGCGAACTTCCGGCAGCTTCCGGGGCTACTGTTCTTCACCGCCCAGCACAAGTTTGATGTTCCGGAGGAAGTAAGGAAGCAGAAACTTTCAAAGTTTGCCAAGAAATACGTAATTTGGCAAGCGATCTGCTCATGTGGCAAACGGAGTGCGCCGTGCATGACTACCGGGACTGTAAACGGGGAGATCTACCTCAAGGAGTGTCTATAGAAGCGTCTCCTTCCTCTGTTGAAGCAACACGAGGGCCCTACGATCTTCTGGCCGGATCTAGCTTCGTGCCACTATTCAAATGTTGTCCTGGAGTGGTACGAAGCCAACAGGGTCACTTTCGTACCCAAGGACATGAAAAACCCCCCAATGCACCGAAACTAAGGCCCATCGAAAAATACTGGGCTATTATGAAGCACGCACTACGGAAGCATCCCAAGGAGGTCAAATTTGAGGAAGACATGAAGAAAAAGTGGGATTCCGTACAGAAGAAGCCGCAGCCAGATGTTGTACAGAACCTAATGAGTGGAGTTAAGCGTAAGGTGCGAGCGTACGGTTATGGAATGGAATAAATATGCCAAAAGCTTACTAATGGGTTATATTGTATTGCCTGAAAGTTTGAAAAGGATCGGTCAACTAGGTAATTTTCTACACCGTATTTTTTCCGTGATTCAATATGATGTGGGACACCCTTTACACCTTCCCACACCCGCCAATTTTAAAAGTAGAGTTGTGTCATGTGAAGATATTTACTACCGATAGGTTATGGCTTGTCAGCCAGGGTCATGGACCCCTTGCAGCCCACCCTCCTTTTTACGGCTATGGTGATTTATGGTCTATAAAAAAATTATTGTTTAAATTTTGAACACTTATTTTTGTCAAAATTAATACTGAAAAAGTTTACTGTGCATATTGTTGCATGAAAAAACTTTATTTTTCCCTACAACTTCGACTCAAACGACATTACGGATAGAAGTGACGTTTTCGTACTTTGATTTAATAAAAAAATGTCGAATATGCCATTTTGAATAAAAGAATTCATTCAAAATACCCGAATTTTAGCACAAATGTAAATGATTGACCATCAGCGCTAAAATTTGTCATTGTCATTGAAAGACTTCATGCGATATTGACAAAATTATTCCTGGCATCAGCACTGGAAGAATCAGATCAGAGATTCTCAAAAAAATCCTGCGTCAAAATTTTATTAATATTTTCGATAATTCACCTGGTAACAAAAAATAATTTCGTGCATGTTATGTCACATTATGGCTATCCAGGCAATACCCATAACAAACTATTATGCAAAGTTTCATGCAAATCTGGGAAATTTGATGTAAAAAATTCTGAAATGTCGAGTCAAAAGTTAACTATACAAATAGGGAAATCTATTAAAAACGGTTAGAGAAAAATGTCGTAAAATACCAGGCGTCTCCATCAGTTCATTGAATTCATTGGAGCTCATATTTTGCTTCACTTTTGTTTAAGACTAGCGTGAACATATTTGATGATGGAAAATATTTGATTACACGTTACATTACAGTGGGAAAAACATTATTATTATAATTCCATTCATTATTACCCTGAAATGCATTCCTGTTGCTAAAAGTTGTGGCAACGAAACTGAAGTGTACGTTTTCGGATGCGACAGAGCTATGTTACTATATCTCTGATATTGATAAACTTTTATTAAATTAAAAAAAAATAGTAAACAAATCTATAAACATGCACGTTATCATGAGATTGATAAAACAAAAATCAGATGTGAAGAGTTGTAATTGTGAATCTACTACATTACATCTAGATAATGCTCAGGGGTGTGGAAATAACAGTAGAGGCCTTTGATACATGGAACAGGCTTGTGATAATACAAACGGATTTTCAATAGTTTGCTATACTTGAATTACATGCAAACCTTCCGCACCATTTCCCGTAGCTAACTTAAACCTCATTTGTCCACAACTGAGTGACTTTCATTCAAAATAACAAACAACAAACTAATCATCTAACCACCCACCACGGCTTCTACTGTTGCAACCACCTGTGACCAACACAGCCACGAACCTGCACCGAACCGGGGTGCGGCTGTGTGGGTGAAGTAGCTCAGGTGCCCAGCGCACTGGAAAGGCACCACACACAATCACCTCACCAGGTCTCTCGACACCTCCGCTACACTGACTGACCAGGAGACCACTAACATTCAGTTGAGTTTGAACTTTCGGTGCGTACGGACGTGTTCTCGTTTCGCGTCGCCGTCGTCTTGAATGCGTTGCGCGCCGTTCACTGTTAGAATCTTGAGTGTTATGTGTTGTTTGATAGAGTCAGTTCCCTTCACCGTGTAGTGCGTCTCTTTCGTTCCTTCGTGCGTGGGATACGGCGAGGAAAGGTGTTTTCTTGACCATATTTATTTATTATTTTCTTGCCTTCAAGTTCGTGGGCTGGTATACGTGTGTGGATGTGGCTGGTGGAGTTCTGCAGGGTGAATTAGCTCCATCCAGCAGCAGCAGCAGTGTTGTGTGTGGTGTTCCAAACAAGGAAAAGTGAAGAAAACGAGCAACCAAAAGCAAATAGTTTTTCACAGATTTTCGGCCGACGACCGAAAACGGCAATTTAATTAAGTTTGGTTCTGTGCAACGTGTAACCCGTGAGGTGTATTTATGGTGTGCTGTTTGAATATTGCTTTTTGATATCTTCGTTGTTCGTTGGTGACCTGTGTCTGGCGGAGTTTCTCAATGAGGATCCTTTAGCAGAGCGAAGCAAACCAGAAAGTACGCCAAAATGGGAATCAATTTTCTTCTAGCTCCAACGATTGGAGTGTTCCTGATACTAGGTAAGTGAGGCGAGCGTTCGCTGCTGTTTGATAAATTGGCGACGTCGACGCTGCTGGCCTACGATATACATACTACAATCTCAGGGCTCTGCTTCTGCTGAGTATACACACAAAGTGAGTCATAGGTTGGAATTTCACCACGGAGACGACGACGACGATGATGGTTGTTGATGATGACGATGGCTGTGAATGGTTTAGAGCGTGGCGAAGGTGGCAAAAGAGGAACTACAATAACTCTGCAGAACTAGCTTGGCCCCTTTCGTGACGTTCTGTTGTTCAACGTACGGTGGGCTTAGCGCGGTTAGGTGAAATAAGTGTTCTAACATAACTGTTTTGTTGTTGATGGATTAAAAAAAAAGAAATGAAACATGGATACGCATGGCACTTCGTTTTTTTATAAACTTGTTCAATTGAGTTTAAGGCACCAACTTCAATTCAATAAACAAATTACATACACCCATCCGGGAAATGTAAGATTCTATTACAGATTTGCATGTAAAGTATGCAGAATTTGCAATGTTTCGCAACATGAACAGACTCTGTAATGTGGTCGCCAAAAGGTTTTTCAATAAATTTTGTAATTTTAATGTTAGTTTATTTTTCGAACAAAGTTTGTTTCCCGAAATGCATTGCAGCTCATGAAGGTGCAATACAAAAATATGCATTCTTTAAAAAAACTTACTTGTACATTGCAGTCCATTGCAAATACTGCCATTATATTTGTTGTATGAAACATATACAGAGGATGTTATAAATCCAACCTCACATTGGATTTAAAAGAAATTTGTTTGGCGTGTAGTTTTCAGTTCAGTTAAATGACTCTGATGATGATTATAGTGATTTACCACCCACTGTAGCATGAAAATAAGTCCGATAGCAGTGGGCATTCTTCTATGTATGTCTTGATCAAGCTTAATAACCTCTGGTTGTCCTCAACATGTCGCTCTATGAAGGGCCAGAAAACGGATTGGGTGGATCGATAGGCAAAGTCGCCTATCCGCATCTACGGAACAGTAAAGAATCTCCTTTCAGCAACATGATCGCACAATTGGTCAAAAAGATGAGCCTCCAAACAGTAAGATGCCCAAATGAGTGAGGAGAAAAGCCCGTCCTTTATCCACGAAACGTTATCAACAGGGAGTTGGCATTCCCACTCTCACCGTTCAAATCGCTTCAATCGGGTGTCCTGATGGTTGCTCCCAATCTCAGCATTGTTTTGTGTTTATATACGAGCAATAATACATATTAAAAATATAATTATAAAAATTAAAAATATAATAATTTCGACTTCCATTATCTTTGTATGATGATATTGAGTTACTAGTTGCGTCTTATAAAACCGTAATACCATTGTTTGCGGGTATTTTCTTAACGAGCATCACTCCATTGTCGTATCGCATGTGCTCTATTTTGCAGCTCTTCTTTCATTTTTACTTTGTTGTCTCCATGGTACTGGAAAAGATTTAGATAAATGCATTATTAGTCACGGGTGGTTAATTAGTGTGATGGTGTAGAAAAACCCTACTTAATCATTCATTTTCATTGGTATGAATAAATTTGGCCAGCCTTTAAAATACACTTGTTTTTTGCATTGCAATTTAATTTAAGGATAAAATTTAGAGTACTGATCCTAATACTTTATCTTTTGAAAGTATCTGTTTATGGGACGTAAGCCTGGTTTTTTTAAAGCCATTTGGACTGACTCCGTATTACTCAGCTTTTAACGATGTCAATTGATTCTCAACTTTTCTTAAGTTTTGATTTATTGGGAAAAATGTAGGTTGCTTAAAAAGTGCAAGTTAAAAAATTATGTTGAAACTGATTTTTTACAGACAAATTTATAAGATCCATACATAAATTGTTTTTGTTATTAAATAACTTTCAAAAGTTAAGGATTGTGTCCCAAGCACGACCGCATTGTTGACGTACGACTACAGGATTCGATTTTGCTGCTCCATTAAATAATCTAAATATATTATTTATTAATAACAAAATAAATGGTTTAGAAATTTGAGCAATTCAATCATATATTTTTTTAAATTAGGCATTTAATGAATAAGTCCTAAAATAAGATCCAATTTCATAATTAGGTTCCAAACATGCTCACTCAACTTTCGGAAACTTACTAATTTTAGTCATGGCAGCACAACTTTAGAAATCAAAGTTCACCTGACATCACAAATCTTTATGTTATTCAGAACTATGACAGACAAGTGGTTTTCAACTAAAACTTATGTAAGTTAACTGAAATTCACAGACACATTTGAAACTTTTCCAAAGACAGCAACCTTCTATGTTGCAGAGCAGTCAAGTTAAAGCAAGCAATCAGAAGTCAAATGATATATAAGCGCCGAAAGATATGAGAATTCTGATCTGAGCTGCCCATTATACAATAGGTATCTTATCCATCTGAATAAATCGAGTCAAAATACTGAAAACGAAACTAACTCAGAGTTTGAGTCACTTATACTCATTCGTATGGAGACATTTCTAAAAGCGTAGGTAACTCAGCGAAATTTCTCCATACAAATGAGGAAAAGTGACTCACTCTCTGCCAGGCATGGAAAATCATTTACATTCATTTGATGCAATCATTTACATTCATTTGCCTCTAACTTTTTGCATCAACAGCAATTGGCAAAATGATGTATAGAGCTTTAGTAGGTTTTGTTATTAGCTACAACTTTTGCCCATAACTCAAATCTGTATCTCTTATGCATCACGAATTAGAGCGGGCAGAACTTGTTACTATTTTTCAGTGAATGTAAAATACATTCACTGAAAAACAGTAGTGGCTTCTGTTCGCTCTGATTCGTCATACATAAGAGATACGGATTTAAGTTGTTAACAAAAGTTGTAGCTAATAACAAAACCTACCAAAGTTCCTTACACTATTTTGCGGAATTCTGTTGATGAAAAAAGTTAGGGGTAAATGAATGTAAATGAATGCACGAAATGAATGCAAATGATTTTCCATGCCTGCTCTCTGCATAAGATTCGTTTACAGTGAACGTAGACTGCACACTTAGAAAACGTCATGTAAAATTCCCAAGCAACACGGCTTGTCATAAAGAAGTTGAAAATACTTTGTAATGACAAACGCAAAGAATCACTAGTACTTTAATATACATCATTTAATACATTTATACAACCTAAAAAGCGCAAGACGCGGAGGTTATACAACTAAATACTGGTCTTATAACATGTATTTTGGAAACATCATAAAAACCAGCGACAAAAAAAAACAATAAAAAAATCTTGAGCATGGGATTCGATCACTGGTCCTTGGCGTGGTAGACTTGTTTCTACCTAACTAGACCAACACCGCTTGATGATAGGTTTGTTATAAGTATGTATCATGTTCTTGCCAATGGCATGAAAATTATTTTCTCGTTCAACACGCCTTCGATCCGTCATGAAGACGTTTTGTTAGTAGCAAAGCGTACATCTAATAGCCAGAATGTTATTAAAACGTATTTTCAACTCCTTATAAGACAACCTGCACATTTTCAGTTGTATTAATCTATGAGATGTCATAAAAAAGTATTTTCAACTTTCTTTATAACAAACCTCCGAATACCTCATAAGAAACTGTCAATCACGGCATGAAGAGACAGTCCGGCTCAAATGCACCGTCAATGTTTACGTCAATCTGGATTGATTTTGTATACGACAAGTTTTATAGTGGTATTAAAACTGTAAGATGCACGTTCAAATAACATTTAAAGATAAAAGCAAAAGAAAACTATTTTAGAAAATGTTGAATCGAAGAAGTATGAAGAAAACATCTTTAAACCTCATATATAACGTAGGATGTTTTCTGCATCTCTTATAATACATTTATACAACAATCCGTTCTAATTCTTTTTCAAAAGATGTTTTATGTGTTACTTGGGTTGGGAGCTCTGAGAGAGTCAGAAACCTGCTTTCTGGTCACTGCCAAGTTAATGCATTGAATTTCATCGAAGAACAACAAATCAAATAGACTGGCAACTCTTCCATTTTCTAATACGAACACTATGAGACAGGTACAATCACGTCATTTGCCACTCAAAGGTAAATGCTTCGAACGAATTTTGTAGCAAAGATCACATCCTCAGAAGAAGGGTTTGTTATTGTTATTTATTAATTTATTTGTTAAGGCTCAAACGTATTAACTTTACAGAGCCGAGGATTCTTGGTCACTAAACAATACATCTGAAAAGTACACAGCAAAAAAATAATTTTGATATCACGTCAAAGTGGATGCACTACAATCATGTCGAAAATATGGTGTAATATTACTTGCTAAAAAGGACAAAATTATCTGTAATACAATGCATGAACTGACATTACGCTGCTTTTACTGCATTTGTTTATTTATGTGGTCATAAAAATTACATGAAATTTTCGACATGATTGTAGTGCATCCACTTTGATGTGATATCAAAATTATTTTTTTGCTGTGTACAACACAATAAACACTTTATCTTTCGCTATCCAAAAAGCCTACTCCATCAGAACTGGAGCCGTTTCCAGTGGTTTCATTGTATGGCAGTTACGCCAAGAGGGGTCCGAGCGCTTCCATTGCAGCAATGGACGCAAAACGGGGTCAGCACTCACACATCGACCGAAAGAACTGCTGATGAAGAACAATGAGGAGGACCACACAATGGTTGCTGCCGAGAAAACAGACGATCGCGTGGCACACATCGAGAGTAGCCTGCTTTGAGTGAACACTGAAGAAGGGTTTGTGTATTTGCTCATTTTTCTATGCGTTGCTTCCACCTTCACTCAAGCGCAGCGCTATTGTATCTGTCACTTGGATTCTGGCAAAGTTGCCAGTCTTCTTGATATGATGTCTTCAATTTAATGCAACTTGCACACTGAGCTTGGATGGTCATCCAATAGGCCTTATGCATCTGAAACAATTTTTTTTTCTAGCCGAGATGGCAAGTTACACTGAAAGCGAATCTTATTCAGAGAGTGACTCGTTTTTACTTATTCGTATGGAGAGATTT